AGTTAAATGATATTTATATATCATTGTTATTCATGTGTTTCTTGACTGCTTATTTGATTTTACACTGTTAAAAATAGATTGGTGACCAATAAATAATATTATTCACACTCATCTCATTTCCCCGTTTTTACATCTGACTACTGAATAAAGCAACTTTTTTAAAACATATCTTTTTTTGACAAAACCAGTTTTATTTAGTTTATAGTCAAAATACTTTATGACTATTTCATGAAAACCCATTTTCAGTAAATCAGAAGGACTTTCTGTAGCAAAGTGGAATGTTAACATAAATATTTTTCTAAATTGTTTTTCACAATTGAAAGTTAAGAGACTCAACTTTAGAGTTGTATGGCATAAAGACAGAATTGTTTTCCTATATGTCTTGAGCCTGTCCTTTGTAAGCTTACATAATATTAAGCATTGTGATTTAAAAAATATTTCTGAATTGGACGTACCTAAGAATGTAGTTCTGTTTCCTTAGCCATCACTCTTAAGACTTTCTGCAGGCCTGCTGATAAGAGTCACTGCTGTTCAGGTATACAAGATGTAATGAAATTGGATGCTCATGCTGGGTTTTGTAAATAAAATGAGATTGACCCCCAGCCATTATCTCATTTATCTGATTTACATTGTAAAATCAAGATGTACACTATTGATTAGAACATAATTAGTTAATTATGAACAGGGAAATACAAAGTTAAGTGGGGGTTTGGCACAGCAGGTCATTCTGCTGAAAAAGTTTCCAAGGGCATGAACAGATGGAGATCAGTTTATTAAAGAACATAGCAGACATGTTTCAGGTACGGAAATCTCATTTTGTCATGCTGAGAATAGGTACTTGGCCTTCTTGTATATTTTTATATGAACTCTTTTGTTTCAGTTTTTATTTTTTTCTTTTCACTCCTAATCTTGTAACCTAACTGTCCTAGGTCATTTAAGTGATTATTAAATATGAATCTGGGTTTTGATAACTATTTTTTAGTAAGTATACTTTCACATATGAAGAATATTTTTGTCATCATTCATCCACTTATTATTGCCTGTAAAGTTTATAGTGGCATTAATGAAAATATGTTCAAAATGTGCCATTTGTCCTATTTTTGTGAAATACAATATAAAAGGCATTTTTTAAATTATTTTGTTTAGAAAATGCTATTGTGAAAGGTCTACTAAAGTTAAAAAATGTAAAGGAATGGAAGTCAGTTAATATTTAATATTTTTTGAATATGGTTAGAATGCAAAATTTTGTGCAAGCTAGTATTTTGAAAGTAGTTTAGCTCTATATTTTCCATTCACGTTAAATTAAGTAATTGAAATATGGGCACTGTTCAGTGCAAGAATCTGTCATTACTTGTTAATAGATATGTGTAGTTATTTAAACTGCTAGTGAAATTTTTATTTAAGTAATGTTTCTATTTAAGGCTTTTTTTAAATCTTACACAGAATTTTCACACAGAAGTGATGAAAAGAAAATTCAGTCCATCAATTCCCTTATTAATTAGTATTTTTTTTTTTCATTTCAAAGTGAGCATATATATAGTATATTTAAAGGCTTTACTCTATCTGGACTTGGAAGGCAGCTAAATGAAAATTCCCATTAATATAATGAATAGCTATGATTATGGATCTACTTAGTCATAGAAAATGTGCATCATTTTTCTAGTCCCATTGTCTTGATTTTCTTTCTCCCTGAAGTTTAACTTATTATTTGACTGTATTTTATTTGTATAGAATATGCACTTGATTATTTTGGTTAGTTTTAAAAAGTAGTTATTTAGTGTATTCTTCTACTAAAATTAGCAGTTGTAAAGTAAGGGAACTAAGTCTTTTGAAACAGTGGCTTTTACCCTATCTCTTAGAAATAGGAAGATATATATTGTTTGTTTCTTTTTACTTGTGTGCATATTCTCAAAAATTGGTAAATATATTACTAACTGCTTATTGTATAGATCATTATACATATTATTATAAATCATTTTCTTCCTCTTCTTTGTCTAGGGGGCTATACTTAACCATATGCTAAGTAAGTATTTTAAATACATATAGAACTATATTTATTTGGTCACTGCATTTTGATAAGTCAGTTTGTAAAAGACCACATACAGAGAGCTGCTTTATCATTTATATATGTGTCCACTATGAACCTGATAACCAAAATAGCTACTATTTAGTAAGAATGTAATTAAACTTGCAGTTTCCTTTTACACATGGGATTCATTTTATCTCGTGTAAAATTGTAATTTAAAATGGCCTATAGTATTATGTTCAATAATTAATTAGGTGTTTAAAGGATACATCATAAAGTATCCAATTTGTATTTTTTTAAAAAATTCAGTTCCTTTATGTTATTTTTATATTCTCTTAATATTGTAAGATTGCCTCCTATTTAATAGTTTCTTTTAGTTTCATTACATGGACATTGGTGTTATTTGATAAATTATTTATCTTTTATACCTCTGTTTTTGTAGGTCAGTGACTGCTTTTGCAAAAGATTTTTAAGTTGGCTGGCACAGTTTGCTGAAATTCATAGTGGTGTGTGTGTTTGTGCACACGTGTGCATGAATGTAATATACGTATGTGCTTGCATACAATAATTTACTTTTTTGATCATCCCTTACTATTATTCTGAATTTTAGCATTTTTAAACGTTTTTATAGTATCTCATTTTTGTCTATGGTATATTCTTGCAAATGCTGTCAAGTTCATTTTTATCATTTGGGATAGTTTTGTTACTAGCACATAAAGTTATATATATTTTTTAATTCAATATTTTATTATAGAAACAACCAGATTTTTTTGCTGCATAAAAATAATACACAACTTTAGAAAGAACTTATTGTATATTATTTATTTCAAGATTGGTTTCCCTTTGTGTTTTCTACTGGAATTTGGCAGTTCATCAGGGTATTACCTTTTTTTGCTACTTAGTATTTTATTTTGTTTGTTGGTGACACCAGTTTTATCTTGAGAGAACTCCCATATCACTCTAGAATTCTAAGTAAATTCTGCTTTTTCTCTGGGACCCATTACAAATTATGTTAGTGCTGCACATATAGACTACATCATTCTGAAAGGTATGATTAGTGAAAAAATCAGTAAGACTTAGGTTATTTCCAAATGGTGAATACTTTAGCATTATTTTGTAACAAATATAGCATATGAAACTTCTTTCCCCTTTAGTATTTATGCTTGAAACAAAAGATAACTTGTTTTACAATTAATTGAAATTTGGTAAAATTGAAACTACATCAAAATAGCAGACTTATTCTTAATTTGTTAGCTGGGAATCTATAGATATACCAACAAGAATTACCTGCATAAGTGAAATTAAAAGATAATAATTTCTGATATATCTTCACATTCCTGGTAATATTTGACTGTTATATACTAGAAATAATTATCAGAGTTACAAGGTAAATATGCAGTAAAATTAAGCTTTAATTTGATATGACCTAGAACATTAATAACTTCACTTATTAAGAGCCTAGATTAAGAGCAATCTGAACTTTATGGAACATTGCCTGAAAACCTGAAGTTAAGCCAAAAAGATTATAGTTAACCATATTTATGTTCATGTTCTTAATTCAATAGAAGTTTTAATTTTCATAGTTTTTTTTTTGGTTTGCTTATTCTTAGTCAATTTAGTGATTGGTTTCCGAACTCATAAAAAATTGGGGAAATGCTGCTTAATAAATTCACTGACAATAGATTACAAGCAAGTAAAGACCTTGAAAACGTGGGAGAGTTGAATACAAGTATTCAAATAGAACCACAGACTAATGGCTCTTGGTCCTTTAGACACAGTTATTCACACTGATCACTATGAGATGACAAAAAATAGAGTAAATTATATTTAATGTATTTTCTTGATGAAGCAAACAGTGTAGTTCTTTTTAATTTCCCATCAAAAATGATTAAAGTACCAGTCTTCATGCTTAAAGGAATATGCCTTTAACCTACCTAGAAATCTGTCTTCTCATAAGCTCAGACATGCTTATATTCTGGTTAAGCCAAAAAGATTATAGTTAACCATATTTATGTTCATATACTTATTAATTCAATAGAGGTTTTCATTTTAATGTCTTTTTTTTTTCCAGTTTGCTTATTCTTAGTAAATTTAGTGATTGGTTTCTGAACTCATATTCTATATGTCCAATGTAGTGGAAATTTTAGCCACTGAAGGGCAAAAAATGTTGAATTGAGAAAAAAGAGCAAAAAATTGTGTGGGCTTGCCATTTAGTCTATATATTTGAAGTTAGCTATGTTTTTCTCTATTATTTTTTTCTTAATTCCACAGCAACAGGCTTGAACATCTCAGTTGCTTTAAAATAAAGTTTTGAGAGTTTATAATACTGACATGATAAATAAAGTGTTGTTATTCCTACTTGATTTTATTTTTCACATAGCTAGAGTTATAGTAAGCAATTTTTCAAGTCTATCTTGAATCTGAAAGAAAGTTTTGGAACATGCATAACTTTTATTTAGCTCATAGAATGGAAGGAAGTAATATATAAATTTATGACTGTGTTTTTAACTGTCTTGTACCCTTGTACCCGAATTTAGTTAAATTGCTATCTAAATTTCTTGATCCCTGTAATGGGCCTTTGGGAGGTGGTTTTTGTAGCATGACATGAAATTTTACTGTGAATATAAATTTATAGTCCTTTTTATTGTAATGATTTTTTAAAATCAATTGTTTTTATTTGTGTTTTCATGACAATAGCTCCTTTTTTCTAATAAATCCTTGGGTATATTAGTTGTGGATTTCTCAGCATTTAAGATTTTAAATCAGTAAAGGAAACTACATAAAAAGAATCTGGCAGGCTATTTTGAAGAAGTTTTTTTTTTTTAATTAAAGCTCAAAGGAAATAAATATAATCTTTTCTATAAAATATTTACATCATTGTTATTTATTGTTAAATTTTGGTCTTGTTTTTTCCAACTGATGCAACATTCCTTTTCATAAGGCTGAAATAATATATATCTTTCTTCATTGTCAGCAGGATGAGATTGTCTGAAACGAAGAATAGGTATGATAGTTTTCTCAGATTTGGCAAATCCACTATCAAAACATTTGTTAGTAACCTTTATAACGTACTAGGAAGTACTTTGTGAAAACAAATGTACTAAGAGGAAATGACAGGTTAATTTTGAGAAAATTTATTATGGAAATATTAATTTCTTAGAATATAACTTGTTCTAGATTGTGTTTGTATATTATGTGCTATAATTATAGAACAGTCTAACTTGGAGAAGGAGAATAATAAGGTATACATATGTATAACATTTATTACAGGTTATTCTACCTAATAAAGTTCTTTAGACTTAAAAAAAAATTAAATCACAATGTATTGGACTAAATTCATAATCTTGAATGTTAGGTGCTTTGTTTTTAAATTAATGAATGAAGAAATGATTAATTTTCGAAGTTCAAAATTGAAATTGTGTTTTTTTAAAATTATGAGCATATACAGCAAAACACATTAATACATTCTTAACAGTTCTAACAAAGTGTTCTGAATGTCATTAATTTTGTTAATTTTATTGTTGCTGTATTTTGATTTTCCTCAAACATTTATTTCAGGTTTAGATTTTGTTTTTCATAAATGTGAATTTAGTAATCTTGTGAGCCAAGGATAGAATTACAAGTATTCAAGTTGAAATGTACAATTATTTGGGTTTGTCTTTGAAAGAGATGATTTTTATATTATTTAGTGTACCATAAATTTGTTTACCTTGCAGGTGTGATGAATGCAGATTATGCTACCATTTTGGCTGTTTGGATCCTCCTTTGAAAAAGTCTCCTAAACAGACAGGCTATGGATGGATATGTCAGGAGTGTGATTCTTCATCTTCTAAGGTAAGGGGATAGTGAGGGGGGAGGAAATCTATAAGAAATAGTGTTTTCTTTCATTTTGATAGCTTTCTCATATCACCTCATTATCTAACTTGAAAGAGAATTGGAAGGTGAAAGACCAACATTTTATTATAATGCTCTTTAAGAATAATTTTGTTTAAATTAAAAACAGCTGTACTAAATTATATACATTTTTCCCTATGAAATATATTAGCTGCTTTGTATATACTTTATATTACTGTATCATATCAAATACTGCTCTAGTAACAACAACAACAAAATAGTCAACCTTTGCTAACTTACCATACCTAGAGATTGGCAGGGAAATTCTATCTTGAGTCATAAGAATTTTTTTGACAAGTCAGTATGTATATATTAATGTATCTAAATGTTAACCAACAATATTAATATATATTATTTGTATAAGTGGTAAGTCTAATTTTATTTTGTAGATAATTCATCTTGAAATATATTGAGAATGTTTTGCAAAGTCTATTCTTTGAAAAAACTGGTTTTTATATGTATGAAAATTTATTTCTGGCAATTATTTTAACAAAATAGATAGAGTGAAATTTGTAATACAAGTTTATCCCCCAAAGTGAGCTACTGGAGTTGTATCTTTTAAATGTCAATATTAATACCTTAAATTATGATAATCTGAAGTTTAAGATTATCATGTATTTCTTTAAAATATATGACTGAATAGTTAAGATTCCTAATGACTTGACTCATTTGGCATAACTACCGTGCTTCAACTAAGACTTTCTAATCTACTGTGGGTTAAGCAAATTGTTACTTACCTAGAAATTAGAAATTGAATATTTATGGTAATCTGGACATCAAGACATCTTTCAAAGTGATGCTAAGGCTCTTGTACAATAAATTATAACTGGTACAAAATTCCTGTCTGATCATGGAAACAAAAATATTCTTTTCTTCATCAATTAAAATGATTTACTTCAGCTTTCCAAGACATACTGCAAAAGTTTATTGCAGAAAGCACTTAGTTAGAAAAATTATTTCAAGAGCTTTTTAATAATCACATTTATTAGTTTTTATATTTGTATAATGATTATTAAAACATCCATTTTTTTTTAATAATCAAGCATTTTTGCCCAAGTGTGAACCATACTTATATATAATAAGAATAATTTTCCATTTTATTAAAATACACTTTTAAGTAGGAGCATGCTATTTTAATTACATAGTTTAAAAACATATTCCTAAAATTATATTATGTGGAAAAAATTAATTTACTATAGACCATACTTGATTTCAGTTTGAACCATGGATGGTGATGTTAACTTTAATTACATGACTAAGGAGTTATCTATGAGTTTTCTATATTCCTTTCCTCATTCTAATTAATAAATAATCTTTGGGCAAGAACCTTAAGACTATGTAAATGTAAATTTCCTTATGTAAGTTTTGTTTCATTCATATTATTATTATCTTTATTATTATTATTATTATTATTATATTATTATTATCTTTATCATATTATTATTATTATCTTTATTTTGATAATTTGTTCAGATTGCCCCAAATTTGGCTACTGAAAACCACTATAGACAAGTTTCTTCCACTTCAGTTAGCATCCATGTCTTTTGATTTGATCCCACCAAACTTTGAGTAATTCTTTACTAAAGGTTTTCCATGCTCAACTTGTACTTTCCCTAACCCTACTCCATTTTTCCAAGGAGTTAAGGTTCCTTTTAGTGGGTAATGGTATTTAGAAACTAAGATCTAGGTACTAGATATGATCGTTGTTACAGGGATAAAGTTTCTTCTGTCTTTCAGTAGTCAGAATCAAAGACTAGATGTATGTGTTTCCATTCATGCACATACACACTTATGCTATATTTCTGTGTCTTTATACACACTGAAAAGTAATCTACTTTTCTCCCTTCCCTTCTTTTTAATATCTTAACAGAAAGCTGTTTCTTCCATTGTCCTTAACATATCTTACATGGTTATTTCCTTGATATGTAACTAAAATCTTGTCACTCTCTGTCACCCACCCCATATGGACAGTTATCATATCCAATAATGACTTTCTGACTGAACTGTTGAGTGGGAGAAAGGGGAAGGTGATTTCTTTTACAAGTTTCTGTGGTAATTTCAATGAGCAGTTAGGAACAAGAGTCATAGTTTATTGTATTTTATGAATTTTTCAGTTCTTAAAAATATTTTGAAGGTAATTAACTTTTTTTAAAACTTTGTAATAAATCCATGCTGATACTTTAAAATTATTTTAATGCTTATATATATTAGCATAGACTTAATAGTTGTTATTATTTAAAGTATAGAATATAAACTCCTATAAGTCTAAGGTGTACTTGATATAGATCTCAACAAATCTCTATGGTAGTTTCAGCAGCACCACCAAAATAAAGATAACTTTTTCAGACATAGTTAAATGGACATGTGTAAATATTTCTTTTAAAAGTACTTCAAGTCATTTATTTTCACAAGTGGTACTGAGGATTTAAATGTATATCATGCATTTTACAGTGATTGTGCTAGTTATGTTTCTGACTTTTCATCCTGTTTAAACTCTGTTATGTAAAAGCTCATTTATGATAGCTACAAGATGAAATGTCTTAGCTCAGAGACCTGCATTTATTTCATTCTTACTTGAGCTTTCTAGAGTACTGCTCCTTTTGAGCAGTAATAAATTGAGTTCATATGTATTGAAATCACATCTAAATCCTGAAGGACGATTTTCTGGAATTACAAATACATACCCTACTAGCTGATAAAAGTGGTACTTGTACTTTTGAGAATCATTTGTGTTAGGAAGTCTGTGGATAGAGGAAAATAGGATTTTCTTTTTCATTCTTATTTTCCAAACTTTCTGCACTGAGTAACTAGAATTCTATATCTGATGTGTCAAAATGACATCTATAAATATTGTCAAGTAAAACAGTCATTGAGAATTTTGCCTCTTTAAGAACTGAACAGAATAATCTCTCCAAGGAGTATCTTGCCACAATACATTAAACAAGCACATTTAATTGAATCTGGCAATATTGGAAATTGAATGTCTGAATTTTATGTATTATGAAGATTTATGAAAAATATAAAATTAAAATGAATTATCTTTTAAAGTTCCTTTATATTTGAAGAATTTAACTAGGCCATAAAAAATAGCATTTTAATATTTTAACTATTCATTTGACCTCTGGGATTTTATCTGACATTAGGTTGAATTTGAAGTTTCTGAGTTTAGCACATTTGACTGAGAAGTCACTTTCAAGTAAAATGTATACTGCTCAACAGACTTATCATTTGTGTGGCAACAATGTATTTTACTAGGCTATAATGTTCTTGATTTGCCTTTTTATGATACAGATATGTAAAAGTCTAGAAAAAACTTGTTTATATAGTATTCTACATTAGAATTATGTAGAACAAATATGTGATAGTTTGTGATGTAGCTCTTCCCCATCATAGCTATAGTTAAGTACTTAAATTTCAGATTTCCTCTTTGCTAGTGCTATGGAAAAAATCCACAAACTTCTAGTTGGTCATTTATCGTATCTAAAACTAATTTCAGGCTGTTGCCAGTTACTCTAGCATTTTTTTCTGGCAAGCAGAATTGTTCGCATAAATGTCTTCTAGGCCTTGCTTTCTAATTGAATGTTGTACTTTGAGACTTATGCAGTGATTTGTGAAATCAGTAAAGTAATAGCCATTAACAATTCCATAATTATTGTCTCTATAATGTATTTGTTTAAATTGAAAATTTATGTCCTGAACTGACCTCATTATTTTTTGTCATTATTACCTTCTCAAAGAGATTGTTTACTTAATTGTCCTTGCCAGGTTTCTCAAATCTACCCCTAAAAAGTATTTTCTCAAGGATCAATTTTTCAGCAAAATTATTCATTGTTATTCTTTATAATATAATTGGGATATATACTGATCTGTTTAATTCGCTTTTATATTTTTAAAATTAATCAGTTTTTTTAATTGAGGTAGTATTAGTATACTACAATTAGGTATTGCCACGATAGTATGTCCATCACCATCTCACCCACAATAGTCCATTTTACTACCCTCTTATTTTTTTACCCTTCTGCCACAGACCGCTTCCCTCTGGATCTTAAATACTATAGTCATCTTGTAAGATTTAGACTTTAAGATTTCTTTAACTGATTCTTAGTGTTATATTCTCCTTCTGACTTATTTCACTAAACATTATCCTTTCCAGCTCCATCCATGTTGGCTGCTAATGACATGAGTTTATCTTTGTTTGATTTCATTGTGTGCGTGTATGCATAGACACACACCATATCTTCCCGATCAACTTAACTGTTTTTCAGTATTTAGGATGTTTCCACAATTTGGTCATTGTAAGTAACACTGTGATAAATACTGGAGTGCAAGTTTCCGTTCATATTAGTGGTTTTGAATTTTTCGGGTAGATTCATAGGAGTTGAGTTACTGTATTGTATGGCAGATCCATTTTAATGCTTTGAAACACCTTCATGCTGCTTTTCATAAATGCTGGACTAGTCTGTATTCCCACCAGCAGTACAGAAGGTCCCCTTTTCTCCACATCCTCTCCAGCACTTACTATTTCTGGTCTTTTTGATACAGGTCTGGTGTAAGGTGCTATCTTCTTGTAGTCTTAATTTGCATTTTCTTTATAGTAAGTGGTAACATAAACTGGAAAAACCAAACTGTTTTCTAATTAGATGGCATGTGGGTATAAATCATCTATATAGTATGCTACAGAATACCATGATAAGAAACTAAATTATAATTGATATAATTAAGTAAAGTTCCATAGGATGCCATACATAGAAATTTCTTACAAAAATTCACCAACTTCATACTGTCCTGAAGTTTGGATTTTTTTTTTTTTTTTTGAGAAAAAAGTCACTTGATAAAATGTTATAGTCAAGCAGAGGGGTCTTTCTTTACAGTTTTTAAAAATTTAAATTCTGGCCCTCCCTGGTGGTGCAGCGGGTTAAAGCACAGCACTGAGAATCTGA